GAAATCCTGCCCCGGGAGAGGATGCTGAAGGCTGGACCAGAGGATGCCCGTCGCCACGGTGAGCCCGGTGAAGCTCTCGGCATCCCGAAATTCAGTCGGGGGGGCAGGAAGGATAAATAACTTATTTATTGGATTTTCAAGGCGGACAGCGGGGGATTTTTGGGTTTTCGGACGGGAACTTTGGGTGGAGCTGGGAAACTTTCCCTGCCGCTGCCTCCCCATCGCTCCCTGACCGTCCTCGGCACTCTGCAAACGGCTTTAATTGCGGATATTTGCAGGGGAAAACAGCTTCTCTCCTTCCCACCCAGCCTGCACCCACCGAACCCCCTTACCTGCTGCAGGGGGGAGCACAGAGGGGTCCCCGAAGCCCCCCCCCTGCCGTTCCCTCTGCCGTGCCGGGGTTGGGATGCTGTGAGGTGGAGGGCTCCGGCGAGGACTGAGCTCCGGAGAAGGATGTCTCAGCTCTTACTCCAAGCGGTGGCGGTGACGACAGGGGCTGGGGGAGGAGGAAGAGCCGTGCCCAGGCAGGGAAGGAGGAAGACAAGGGGGAGGAAGGCCGGAGGGGCATCAGCTCCCCAGGGTTGGCAAAGCTTCCCCGGGGATCGGCGAGGGCCGGGTTTGGGATTTCTCAGTCTCTTCCAAGGCACCGCTGGGCACTGGGAGTGGGGAGAGGGAAGGGGATGTTGGGTTTTATGGGAGAGGATGAGGAGGGAGAGGGAAGGGGAAGAGCAGCCAAAGGGCTGCGAAGCGGCGGAGCCGGGGCAGAGAACGGGATGTTGCAGGGGGAACCGCATGGGGGATTGCGGGGGGTGGGGGTTGGACGGGGCATTAACGGGCATCACAGGGGACATTGGACAGGGTATTGCGTGGGGCATTGCGGGGGATGTTGTGTGGGGCATTAAAGGGCATCACAGGGGACATTGCACATGGACATTGCACGGGGCATTACAGGGGACAATGTATGGGGCATTAATGGGCATCACAGGGGACACTGAACATTGCGTGGGGCATTGCGGGGGACATTGTACGGGGCATTAATGGGCATCACAGGGGACAGTGAACAGGGTATTGTGTGGGGCATTACAGGGGACACTGTATGGGGCATTAATGGGCATCACAGGGGACACTGAACATTGCGTGGGGCATTGCGGGGGACATTGTACGGGGCATTAAAGGGCCTTGTAGGGGACATTGCGCATGGGCATTGCACGGGGCATTGAGGGGGATGTTGTATGGGGCATTAAAGAGCATCACAGGGGACACTGAACAGGGCATTGCACGGGGCATCGCGGGGGACATTGTATGGGGCATTAAAGGGCATTATAGGGGGCACTGAACAGGGCATTGCACGGGGCATTGCATGAGGTACCACACGGGGCGTCTCACAGGGCATCGCGTGGGGTATTGCGTGGGGCATCCCAGGGGACACGAGCGAGGTCCAGGCTCTCGCAGCGGCGGGGGGAAGCCGGGGGCTGCTTGTCCCGCTCCCCACCAGAGCAGGGTTTCCCCACTTGCCCCCGCAGCCCCGGGGTGGGGGGGGGTGGTGCCATCCTGGCCGGGAGCAGGGCAGCTCCAGGGAGCGGCGCTCCAACCCCAACTCTGGGGAAAATGGGGTGCAAAGCTTTGCCTCGGCGCACGTTTACCCCCGTAAAACCCTGCCAAGGGGACGGTTGTAAAATTGGGGAAGCAAAGGCAGGGTAACATCCAGCATCTCCCCCAACGCTGCGGACCCCTCCTGTCCGAAGTGTCGCCACCCGAGGGGACAGGGATGGGGTTATTTTGGGGCAGGATAAGTGGGGTTGGTTGTTTTTTTTTTGGACTGCAAGAAGATGGGAAACCCAGAGCTCGCCGCTGCTTCCCGACCCGCTGGGCGATGAGCCGGCCATCTCCCCCAGACCAGTCTCTCTCCTTCCTTCCTGCTAGGAAATTTAACTCGCGACCTTCCTGCCAGCGAAGCCCAGCGCTGTAATTTCCAGCCCTGGGGGACCTGCCCGATGCTTTGCTTCCTTTCCCCTGGGAGATAAACGAAGAGGCAGAGCCGGGTATGGAGGGCACCTGAATTCGCTGCTCCCCGCCCCCCACCTCCCCTCCCCGGGGGTCTCGGCTGCTGGACCCCCATCCTGCCCGCACCCCCGTGGCTGTCCCCGCCATCCCTGGGATGCCGAATATCCG